ATTGTAGCAATAGTAGATGAGCCAAGACCTAAAGACAGACATTTTGGCTCTGGAGCCACTGTGCTATATTGTCACTACAGAAATAGGTGTTTTCCTGTCCTCCACAGTCTCCACCCCCAAAGCACTCTCTTTGGAGACAGACTTTTGGTTCCACTGAACAAATTAACTGGCAAGAGTCCAGGCATCCTCTTTTGGTTGGGTTGGGCTGTCAGAGGTACTGATCCTCAAATGCAGGTGTAAGTTAAAGACCACAGAGAAGTTTCCACTCAGGTAGGGTAGATCTAATTATGTATGTATGTTGGGGATAGTGGGTTATGCTGGGGAGGAGAGGGACATTGGCTCAAGCTCTTAGACTAAGATATTGTGTATTTCCAGTATATTTCCATTTGTAAACTGATGGTAGGATGCTCCGCTCCCTTAACTGAACAGAGGAGACTAAGGTGCAGGAAGTGTTACCAGGGTTGTCAGTGGACTCATAACTGATACAATACCTGTTTTTCTTTAAGCTGGATTATTGTATTGGTTTTGTGGGGCTGCCCTAATAAAGTATCACAGACTGGGTACCACAACAGAAACTTATTTTCTGACAGTTCTGGAATCTGGAAGTCCTAGATCATGTTGGCAGTATTGGTTCCTTCAGGCCATGGCAAAAGGACCTGTACCAGGCCTCTGTCCTCAGCTTGTAGGTGGCTGTCTTATTCCTGTGTCTTCACATTAGTTTCCTCTTATAGGTGTCTGCATCCAAATTTCTTCTCCTTATAAGCACACCAGTTATGTTGAATTAGGGCTCACTCTGATAACCTCATTTTCATGTAATTACCTTCTTAAAGAACCCATCTCAAAATACAGTCACATTTTGCTGTACTAGGGATTAGGACTCTAACATACAGATTTTGTGGGGGACACAATTTAGCCCTTAACAACTATACAGCAGCAGATATACCTCTCCTCATAGAATTTCTCTTACCCTAACATAAGGCATATTCATTGGCTAAGTAGTAAGTAACAAATGAGTCATGAATTAATTCTGGTGCATTTTAGGGAAGTTGGGATTACCTTGTGAGTTGAGAAAATACATACATAATTAAGATGTGACAAGCAATATCTATTACTGGTCTTGGGTTCCAACTAAGGGTCTTTGAGGAATTGTCTGAGAGCCTGTGGAAGTCATTCAGGTAGGCTTCTGTTGGTCCTCTTTCCCATGTGCAACAAACTACCCAATTCTTCTCCTGGTCCTGACCACAGCGATGTTGGTTGTGCTCAGCGGCAAATGCTGAGACTTGCTTCTCTTGCTATCAATGCCCCCAAACTCAATTTAGATATACAAGTTCCTGTGGACAGCTGACTCTTCCCTCTTCACAGATGTCACAGATCTCTCCACCACATAAGCTGATTGAAGGCACTTGTAATCACTACAGGAAAGACGTGGTAAAAAACTTTATCCTGTTTGGACCAAAGTTTCAGCTTGCTGTGCTGCTGGAATGAATAACATTCCCAGTTTCCTCCCAGACAGTGGACTTCAGTGAATGAGGAACAGTTGTAGCCCTAATGCAACTCTAAAAGTTATCAGTCTCTTATGCTTCTTACTGTCTATGCTTGCTCCAATAGCTTTTCTTCACTTGCTCAGCCCTTTGGCTTTTTGATGCCCAACAGTGGTTCGATATTTCTCAAATTCTTCTAGAGACCTGTTTCCCTAATAAGAGCACACTGCTTCAAATCTTAAAGGTCTCCTAGGTTTACCCAACATCTATAATAAAACACCCTTTGTATCTCCAGCTCCTCTGAAATGTCAAATGATGAGAAATTCACTGCCTTGGTAAACATCTCTTCATTTTTTAAAAAACTTCAACTTTTTATAGCATTTTTTTGTTTTGTTTTATTTTTGAAACGATGTTTATTTTACCTCAGTATCATGCATTGCTCCTGGTCTGCTCTCAGTCAGTCGTAGTCAGTTGAATCCATCTCCCACTTGACTGCCATTGCACATGTGAGAACAGGTAGTGTGTCTGGCCTGAGTCTTCTGTACCCCAGGTTAGGTAGTACTGTAGCTGACACCTGCCACCATGGTTTTAGGTGCCATTCTCTGGCTCTTTTTGTTTGGGCCTCAGTTCTTTGAGATAGGCCTAATGGCTGCTAATAGATTAACAATGAAAACATGCTGAGAGTCCTTTCTACCTTTCAGGGCCTAGATCAAACATTACCTTCTCTGTGAGGCCTTCCTTAATCTTACTCAAATGCCAGGCAATTAACAGCTTTGTTCTTAGTGTTCTCATACCACCCTGTACATTACTTTGCTGTAACACTTAACACAGTGTGTCACAAATATTGATTGACATTTTCTCTCTCTGCTGTATTTTGACCCTGTCTTTGATGAGGGACTATTTCTTGCTCATTACACTATCTTCTGTTCCTGGCTCAGAATAGGGGACTTATGTTTATTGGCTGCTTTGCTGATTCAAGAAACCGAAGTTCAAATTCCAGATAACATGGCTGGTCGAAAAAGAAAATACCTTTGTTCTGGGAGATTTTTGGTGATTCTCAGATCAGACCCTTTGAGGAAAATCCTGGATGTTTATACTGAAATGAGCTAGGCCAGGCTGAACGACTTGTGGGGAATAGATGGTGCAGCCTGGCCTACTGCTGAGACCACCCCCCCCAGAGGTTTCAGGATGCTCCAGCACCAATTATGGCTTGCAGCCCTAGTGTCAAATTATACCTGGTGTCCCCAAACCCTCACTCCAGTTAATGAGGCTGTCTTTTTCCCTCTCTTGAGGAATAATTGATCATCGGGCTTGTTTTTTTCTAAAATTTACTTTTCTAAGATGAGGGTTGGAGGCCGTGTTACCAAGGAATGATTTCTTCCCAGAAAGAGAAGGAACCAAAATGTATGTCCTCTTAGTGAAGACACATTGTCTAAAAAAGATTTTAGTCAGCTTGCTATATCATTTGCTTGTTTGCTGATGTTACACAAACATTGTCCTGGGTATCTTTTAGTTCCTGAATGTGCTGGGGGCAGGCCTCAGACCTTCTTGAGATAATCCTCCTTCTCCAACCAATAAACACAGCTCTTTATCTTTTGGTCAACTTTATTAAGATCCTCTTGCAACTAAAATATGTTCTGTTAGGCTGGGAAGGGCTCATTCTGTTCATTTTCTCAAGCTTCTTCTCTATGGTGGTCCTAATTCATCAACTTATCCCAGAGGGTAGATGGAGACCTATAAAACTATTACCCATTCTTCAAGGACAAAAAATCCAAACTTTGCTATTGCCCTAATCTGTGACTAGTTTTATCAGCTACTGTGTTTTTATTTTATCATTTTTGAATGAATTTACTATGTGACATATAGCCTGGTACTTTAGAACACCACAAGATTTCCCAACAATCCAGCTACTGAGATGCTATTCCGGCGGGGGGGGTGGGGGTGGGGGGTGGTATTCTCCTATAAGACCTGATGTGACAGTTCCTATCATAATCTAGCATGTTTGTTGGAGATAGCTTTTTAGGATTGCCTCACATGGTATTCACTATTTGTCATAGCTTGAAAGCAAATTCTCAGAAATAAGTAAATATAGAGTTTTCCCATCTAAAGTGGGTTGGGAAGCTTATTGGGATGCATGGCCGATACCCTGAAAGCTTCTTCTAGGTTTGTGGACCTTGTGGGAGGGACTACTGCCTCTCTCTCTGTGTTATGAACATATAGGTGAGAAGTACTAGAACAATTTCAGAGGGAGAAACACAAAAAAACTAATTAAAGGTCACCTTTGATGCTCGAAGTAGAATTATTAAAAAGTAAAATCACTCTACAATAAATATTTGGAATTTAAAACTACTTATATTTTCAATCTTGAAAATATAAATAGGTTTATGGACAGTATTATTCAGGAAAAATTGCTACATGTCATGGATAGCTAGCTATACCTGGGATCTTGTTCTAGTTATATGTGGTCATTGTTGTAGAAATCCAAATGACCTACCTCAAAACTGAGGTATGTAATCACTATTGGAGATAGAATCTGGACATGGATGTCGCCCAAGATGAGAGGATGTATTTCTTGTGCTGTGAGCTTGTTAGACTTGATTGTATTGTAATGCTTAAGGGTGTTGGTGAGGCTCTGCCATTCCATAGGAGGGGAGGACCAGTTATAAGCATCTTCCTTTTCAGAGGGTGAATGCATCTTCCTTCCAGAGGGTGAATGCGGCCTTAAGAATTCAAGATAAGTTTATTAAGATGCGTCTGAGCTTGAGGCTGTCCTGCAAGGAAAGCTGCATTTGGAGGTGAAGGTGGGGTGGGGAGCAGCATCATTGGACTGTTCATGCAAATGCAGTTGTCAAGGCAAGGAGAGAGGTGGTTGCTTAGTATTGAAATCATGTATTCCAGATGTGGGCATTTGGTAGTCAATCTGCTCTGAAGTGACATGCTGCTGAATCTTTAAAGGGCTTCAGCCGGGAACAGCAAAATCTGATTGGGCAAATTGCTAAAATATTTAAAGTGCAGCCTGTTAAAGCTTTTACTGCGAAGAAAATCACGTCAGAAGTTGTAGTCAGAAAGAGCGAGTAATTGGCTTTCCATCCTCATGCCAGTCAGTCAGCATGAAACTCTATCCCTATTCCTTCCTCTTCATTGCCAATGCTAATAATAACCGTGTGGGGGGTGGAGGTGGGCGGGAGGGGGTCCTGAGAGATTGCATAGCTGGAAAGTGAGAGGGGGAGAAAGAGTGAGCTCTTCATAAAAAGGGAGATCAAAGCCACAAAACAACATGAAGGCCAGTTTAGAAAAAGGGGAATAGGAGAGAATGGCAGGATTATTACCTGACAAAGGTCACCTGTACTTCCAAGTGGTGATGGTTTGGGTCAGTTGTCTTTCAAACACAAGAATGGCCTTCAGTAACAACTAGTTCCTCTGTGCGTTTGATCTCTTTCGAGATGTAACTCAGGGGGCACTTTTCATTTATCATTTATCACATTTTCCACTTAGGTTTTCCTGTCATTTTCTCCCCAGGCATGACCCCTTGTTAATTCCTGGCAATGATCAGATTGACAACATGGACTCCAACGTGAAGAAATACGACTCTACTGGGATGTTTCACTGGTGTGCACCCAAGGAAATAGAGAAAGTCATCCTGGTGAGTGACAGACTGCAGAATTGATGCCATCTGCTCTGCTCCCAAAGTACATTTGCTAGGAATGTGGTTTTCCTAACCGGATAGTAGGATAATATAGTCCCAGGTCCTAATTACTTTTGTTAAAATTCAGAACACATATTGAAGTAACTAGAACTCTCATCAGAACATGAACCAAGAGTAGAATTTTCCACCTCTGAATATTCGTTGGTGCATTACCGCAGGGTCACATGCTGTGTGAAAGGCATCACGAGAGGCCATATGTGCCTTAACGTCTGTGGATGTGGCTCTGGGGCCAGGGTCTGCCTGTGCCATTTAGTAGCTGCACAGCCTTGAGCAATGCACTTGACCTTGCACTTCAGCTCTCTTATCTGTAAGAAAATGAGATGAGAATGACCCTAACTCATAGAGTTGTGGTGAAAATTAAAATCCAACTTATGACTGAATAAAGTTACCTATTATAATTATTACTGGTAAATGTCATGAAGAAATCTGAACACTGCCTATATTATTATGTTTATAATATTATCTTGTATTTGTCTAGATAATGGTTTTGCATATTTGTGATTCTTCTTAGAACAAAGTGTAGACAGGCAAAGTGCTAATGATAACAACGGTGAACCGTGGGTCATCCCAGGAAGGTGGGAATTCCTAGCCCTCTTTCTTGGTTGGCTCATCTCTGTAGTAGTTGTGGGCTTCCCTAGTTTGTCTCAGGCATGTCAGCATAGATAACAATCCATTCCACTCTTTAGGCTTGCCTTATTAACAGCCTTAGGTTTTAATGCCTACATCAGCCTTCCCACAGCTTATTGTTTTGCTAATCCATAGAAGATGGATTAATAATCAGAAAGGTCAAATGGAAGGGTTCTTTCTCCCTTGTGCCTCTAATCCCCAGATTGCTGTGGCCTGCTCCCTTATGTGAGCCAGGAAAATCTGATAATTTCTGATGTCATGGCTACCCTCCCTAAAAAAGAACTGTTTTTCCTGTATTTTATCTGAATGGGTGTGTTATGTCAGTGTAATTGTAATCAAGTATTACAAGCCACTATAGCATTGTGTCACAGTATTGTGTTGGAGACTGTCTCAGAGGTGTGAATGTTGTAGACAAAAGCACAGACAGTCAGAATTCTCAGGAAACAGCTGTTGTCCAACTTACCCAGTGTACAAATGGTTCTAACCACAAAGATACTTATGCATTTACATCCTGATGTTGTGCTCACTAGATTTTTGCTCTGGTGATCAAAACTCAGCCTCACATTACCCACCTGTGGCAAGTTGAAGGCTGAGTGCCATATCTGGGATCCAGGGTTTTGGTCTCCTATCTTCATATATGCTAGGGTACTGTTGGCTGTTTGCTCTGTTCTTCCGTAGATCAGCTAGGTTTTCTCCCATGAGTAGGGGAAAGTGGAATATGCTTCCTTCTACCTTGCCACCATCTTCAGTCTCCTGGGGATCCAGGGTTTTAATAAATAACAGACATGTAGTCAGAGTTCCCTACTAGCATGAAAGAGTTTAGGGAGATGAGTTACTACTTTTCCCATCCGAAAAACATCATTTAACAAAATATTTATAACAATCTTTTATGTGCTAGGCATGGCTGCTGTTGTTGGAGTAGAGCCTCTGACCTCTGCTCCCATAGAGTGTGTCTTCTAGTGGGGGCTAAGAGAAGACCTCCAGGTGGACAAATGAATACATAACATATCAGTCATTGATAAAGTGCTATGGAGAAAATAAAGCAAGGTCATGGGCTAGAAAGAAACAGGGGGATGCTATTTATTTATCTAATCCTCATCCAAGGAAAAATCTATTCATCTTGGAGAGAGAGAGGAAGAGAGAGAAAGGGAGGGGAGGGGAGGGGAGAGGAGGGGACAGACAGGGAGAGAGAGAAACATTGATGTGAAGAGAAACATGGATCGGTTGTCCCCTATATGTGTCCTAACCAGGAATTAAACCAACAGCCTAGGTATGTGCCCTTACCAGGAATCAAATTTGGAACCTTTTGATGCACAGGACAATGCTCCAGCCAACTGAGCCACACCAGCCAGGGCCAGAGAGATGCCATTTAGACAATGTGGTCCAAGAGGCCTTCTGTAAAGTCACATTGGAGCAGAGATGAGCATGCTCAAAAGATGCTCTGTAGTGTGCGTACCCTAACTGCTTTGGTGTAGGACACTAACTGCTGTAGGGGTTAGACAGTATGTGATGGCCTCAATGTTGAGGAAATGATCATCTAATTAAAGAGAAAATATACAACAACCATGAAACAATACATTTAAAGCTTCATGTTCAGTGGCACAAAGTAATAGTCACATCTAGGGGAGAAGACTGGCATGCATCTAAGTGGCCAGGAAGCCTTATTGGAGACAAACAGGTTGTGCTCCAAAGGGTCTGAGGCCATTAAGGCCCAGCTCGGGGTAGGCCTTGGAGCATGTGTAGGAGACATAGGATGCACATGTGAGTAGTTTCTCTAGTGGGTCTTACACCTGGCAGAATCAGATTCTCTAGGGCTGAGGTCCAGGAACTGAAATCTTTACAAGGTTCTCTAGGTGATTTGTGGTGGCTGATCTGAGGATTGGTGTCTTGGTCCCCATATCTAAGCTTCTAGGGTCAGCATCTGTACCTCTGCCACAGCTAACTGGTGCCTTGCCCTCCACCCTATTCTTGATTCCTTGCCTCTCCTCTGGACCCAGTTTGGATTCCTCAGGCTCATTGATGGGAGCTAGCTGCCAGGTGATCTGGCCAATTCAAAATAATTAGGAGCCACATTACAGACTAGTTGACCCTCTGTTGGTGGTACCCAGGCACACACACTTCATGCAGCCAAGATAACTAACTCCAGGTCTACTGCTCCACGAAATGCTGATATGGGTTGTGACTCCCCACTTGGTCCCCCTTGGTCTCAGTTTATAAAACATTTCTTACAGCCTGTGTCTTTGGTGTTTCTCTGCTCTTTCAGAAGGAAACCAATAATGGTGACAGCCCTTGTTTTATTCTAATGCTCAGGGAGTAAAAGGTAGCTTCTTCCTCTCTTTGGGGGTTACTGTAACAACCCTGGCATTGTTGTAAATGGCAATATTGGCATTTAAACAATCAATACATGGGTCAATTCTAGGGATTAAATGGAGCAGAGTTTGATATGTGCAGTGGACATTAATATGCCTCTCCAAAAGCATTGTAAGCTGCACAGGGCTATCCAGGCATTCAGTGCGTGGACAGGGAGGAAGGAAGGCAAGAGGGGAGGTATTGGACCAGAAGGAGAAGTAGACAAAGGCCCACAGCTGGCCTTCTTGTGTTGTTCTCTTCACCAACTCAGTGAGCAAAACAACCAGCAGTGGCTAACATTTGCATTTCCTGGGAAGCTGGTGTCCACCTCTAAATGGGGTGATTTGATTCTTTCATTTGTCTCCTTTGTAGATATAGGCCTAGAGGTGCGGAAAGACATGGGCTGTTATTGCTCTTACTGATCTTACCCTAGATCTTTTTCATGATTTTTTTGAAACCTCTCTTTGGTAACTTGTGCAGGTGAGCCACTCTAGGCATGCTCCTGGAGACCCCAAGGCAGCAGTGGACAGGGGTCAGCACACTTTCTGTAAAGGGTCATATAATACATTATTTAGGTTTTGTTGGGCATACTATCTATGTCACAGCTAATTAGCTCTGCCATTATAAGGTAAAAACAATCATAGGCAATACCTAAATGAATAAGTTGGCTATTACAATATAATTTTACTGGAATTTGAATATCATATAATTTTCACATATCATGAAATACTCTTCTTTTTTTTTTCAACAATTTTAGAATGTATAAATCAATCTTAGCTCACCAGCCATGGTCATGCAAACTATGGTCTGAGGACCATGGTTTGCCAATGCCTGGCATAGGATATCATGGTCTACCTATTGATGCAATGACTTACTTATCATCTCACAGATAAATCTAGAACTCAAAACTCAAATTTCTTGAGCTGAGACCAACATAGAATCTGATCAATCTATCCTCATCTCAGCAATAGAGGCAGAAAACACAGTTCATTTTATCAATAATTTAATGGAAACTAAGTCTTCCCTTTCCAAATAACATAAATATTGCCGTTCCCTCTGATTTTACCCCTGAAAATTATTATGAAAGAAATCCTGTTCATATGCATGTATGGCATATCTTTTAAAAATTTTCTATCAAAAAATGTAGTGATATGTATGTATATATGTTTCAATATATTTCTTACACCAGTATAATATATGAGTATATACACATACCCTATTTTTCGGAATATAAGATACACCCCCCTCATCCCCAATTTGGGAGGAATAATGGCTGTTAATGCTGCTATTGAGTTCTGTTTACATTTAAATTTGGTGAAATATTATGTTATTTACATTATAAATATTTTACCACATTTTTTTTGCTTCAAAATTTTTTTGCCTATTTTCCTCCTCTAAAACCTAAGTGTGTTTTATGGTCTGAAAATATGGTGCTGAAATTGTAACTATATATCACACTGTTGGAAATAAATATAATAGCATATAATAGCACATAGTAAGCACTCAATAAATGTTTACTCAGTCCTTCACACTCATGATTTTTTTAGTTCTAAACACAGCCCTATGAGGTCATCTCTCAAATGCTCATGCACTTCTTCCTGTTGCAGACACGAAGTGAAGCAGCCATGACCGTCCTGAGTGGCCACGTAGTGGTCTGCATCTTTGGCGATGTCAGCTCAGCCCTGATTGGCCTCCGGAACCTGGTGATGCCACTCCGTGCCAGCAACTTTCATTACCATGAGCTCAAGCACATCGTGTTTGTGGGCTCCATTGAGTACCTCAAGCGGGAATGGGAGACTCTTCATAACTTCCCCAAAGTGTCCATATTGCCTGTAAGTCCATGGTCACATTATTGATGGTTTTTTTCCCCATCCTTTCATTCACAAAAGAAAATCCCAGATGGATGTAATAGTTGTAGCTTTGATCATGCCTCCACTTCTTTATCTGGTTGTGGACCTGAGGACTCAGCCCTTCCTCTGTGCTCCATCTAGGAATATCTAAACCCTGGGGACTTTATTAGAAGAATCTACAGCTTCATTCAGTTGCTCATCAGATGTGAGTTTAGCTGGTATCAAATGTATTAACCACATCGATGTCTGAACACTCTCTTGCCTATCCAAATCCAGTGCTGTGGATGTTATGGTGCTTAGAGCAGAATTCCCTTATGGGACTATTGATTTCATTTTATTTATGACATTATTAATGCTTGGGGAAACCTTGATTGAACCACATTCTGTTTTGAACTATATGTATCTAATAGAGCTCTTTGTTTACTTTTGCTGTACAGAAGGCCAACCCCTTCTGCTGGTCAGCCTTTGCCTCTCATTCATTTAGAAGCCCAGCAGTGTTTGTGTGGGTTTGTGTATGGACCTGCAATGTGCGTGCCTATGATATTATTCATTACAAAATACTGCTACCCAAATCTAAAAGGAAGTAGTCCTTACACTACTGTACAATGTAGTGTGAGGACATGGGATGTATGATCTGTGAGTCATCTAACTACATCCTAATTATTGATCAATATATTTGCCATAAATGTTCAAAAATTATATTGTACATGTCAATATTTGATACAATTCTCTATGTCACGAATCCAGGCAAATATCACTCATTCTGTATATATTTTTCTTGGAAGTTCACATCATTAAGACTGAGGAACATGAATTTGAAGCTACATTTCTAGAGGGCTGGGTTTTTCCCCACTTATGGAGCTGAAGTTCACTATTTCTATTATCAGCTTTCAGAACCTCAGAAGTGGACAAAGTAGTGAAGTAATATAATTCACTAACAACACATAAGACTGTAGCTACAAGTAATATATATTAGTAGCTACCATTTATCCTTATGTACGCCTGGTACAATAGGTATTCAATAAATTTTTTAAAGACTTGAGAAAAATGTAGATAGACATCTCTTGGTTTCTAGGCCCAAAACTCACTGACTTAATAAACTCATGTAATTAACAATAGGCACCTGCAAAAAATCAAATAGTCATACACACTGAAGATTTAAACACATATATGCCTTGCTAATTTCAGACATCTTCTGTTTGATCTTGTTTTCCCATGATCATCTTCCTGCATGTGATCTTGCACATAGTCCCCTAGGAGTACACGGACTGGGGTCTAAAAGTATTTTGTGAGGAGCTTATTATTTTGCTGGGTTACATGAGTCTGTGTGTATGTGTGATGTTTGGTATATGTGTGTGTTTCCTTCTGCATACCCTTGTGCATATCCACTCACATGCCTGCATTTATATGAATGAGCTTTTGTATTTGCAGGTCCCTTTCAAACACTCCAAAATTTAGCATACTCATGTACAACTTATTTGTACAAAATGGGCCTTCTCTGCCTTCACGTATTTCATTGTTTAAACAGTGCCTCACAGATAGGGTGAGCTCTGAGAAACACAGTTGTTTCTATGTATGCCATTTATATTTCTTGAGTTTTGAAATCACGTGGATACAACTGTGCAAGGATTGTCTTATATCACAATTACTGCTGGAGTCCCTACAAGATGAAAATTAAAAGAATATGGATGTGGGCAATTGAGGCTTATGCACTGTGCAATGATTCAGGAAGTTGGTCAAACTTATTTTGTGCCAAGAGATCCTAGGAAGAGAGGGGATTCTTCTCTTTCTCTCAAAAGATAATGCTTCAAAGTCTGGAATGAGTAGCTTCTTAGCCCTACAGTACTAAATGCCTCGTCCTCCTTCATTCCACTTTGTGGCAATATTCTGGTGGCTGAGAATAGAGTCATGACTGCCACTGAGTCATAAAAGAAGGTTGATGGCCTTGACCTCTGCAACAAGTCAAACCTTCTCAAAGACCCTTTTCCAGGAAGGAGAACCACAAAAAGGTATCCACAGATATAAGACAGTAGGCAAACCTTCTTCCTACAGTCAGTAAGGGGTGACTTCACACAGAGGTGAAGGCTACTAGAGTCTCCATGCAGGCAAAGCAGAAGCTGGATTCCGGCTGGAGGACCAAGGAGGCAGAGGGCTGGATGCGAACTCCAAGGGATGTCCCTAGGGAGCTTGGCCATGGGATAGCCTGATGAGTTCTGCCATGATGCCTCCTGAGGACACAGAGCATGTGGCATACATGCTCCTCACTTCTAGGACTAACCCTCACACTTCACCTGTGTATGCCTTCCTGGTTTCTTTGTCATTACCTCCTAGATCTGTATTTTTCCCCCACTATTTTGTTGTTTTAAGATTTTAAAAATCTGTTTACTGGCTTATTTACTTTTAATTACACCAGTAGCATACAAACACATTCTGGTTACAAAATATTCAAATAATACAGAAGTATGTGAAGTCAAAACAAACTTTTTACTTTACCTCCAATCTTATTCTCTTCTCCTGAGGTGATTACTGTTATGAGTTTAGTGTGAATTTTTTCTGAACTTCCTCTCTGAGTGTACGTACATTCATAAATACACTCATAAATATATAGTTTTATTTTAGAGAGTTTTCCAAGGCAACACTTGCACAGAGAGCTGTTTCAGTCCCTTTACCGGCTGCGTAGACTCCCATTGTATATATGTCCCATGGTATGTTTAAGCACTCCTATGTTGTTGGACAATTAGGTGATTTCCTTATTTTTTTTTCTTACTGAAAATATGCAGTAAAATTATATGACCTGAAGCTTAATTCCTTTCCATCTCCCCTTTGCAAGATGCACATTAATTCTACTCCCTCCCACATCCTCCAAGTGGAGCAGTGTTTCAGCCCCACCTCATCACACCATGCTCACTGCTTTTTCCACTTAGCTGCATTGGAAATTCTACTTGAAGCTCCTGTCTTTTGCTTGAGACAGAAGTGACCTGCCATTAAATAAACAGGCATTTGAAACCCACTCCCTTGTTACATTCTGAAAGCCAGAGGTTGCCACAGGACAGTTACTTAAATCAAGACAATTTCCAGGCAGGAAGAAGATGTAGAACTCTGGCATTATTCCTCTCCCTCGTTTGTTAGTAATAGCTTGATTGAGTATTGAGAGCAAGCCTAAAATGCTGCCATCAGCACTGACTACCCTTTAGATTAGCACACAGCTCCTATTCCCTTGAATGTAGTTAGGCCAGCTTAATGTCAAGGCATAAAAAAGATACTTGTTAAATAATTTCCCAAAGCTCCAGCACAATCTTTAATTTGTTTTTATTTTTTTCCTCTTTCCCTCTGGTTTCTCAGTCTCACTTTTGTGTCTCCTTTTTTTTTCTTTCCTCTCTGCCGAAGGGTACGCCATTAAGTCGGGCTGATTTAAGGGCCGTCAACATCAACCTCTGTGACATGTGCGTTATCCTGTCAGCCAATCAGAATAATATTGATGATACTTCGCTGCAGGACAAGGAATGCATCTTGGCGTCACTCAACATCAAATCTATGCAGTTTGATGACAGCATCGGGGTCTTGCAGGCCAATTCCCAAGGTAAGGACAGCCTGTAATACTCCTCTCCTGTGCCTACAGGGGACAGGGGCTGGCAAGAGGGATATCCTTCACTCAGTAATTCAAAGGGGCTCGCATCAGCCTGCCTGGCAGTGGAACTTGTGGTCATTGCGATGGTGTTCAAAGGGGCACCTGCTGCCTCTTCTCACCATCCCAAGGTGCAGGCTTGAAGACACACACTCAGAATAGGCTGCCTTCCCAGTCAGTAAACCAGCCTTTCCATCACCACCCCCTCAGCCTTTTTCAAACAGTGGCTTTATGACCAGGATCACCAGCTAAATGTCAGAGCACTGAAAAGATGCTGGCTGAACAATTCCCAGTGTTTCTCCCCAAAATATATCTTTGCCATTGACCTGTTGTAAGCCTGGCTATTGTTATAGCTGCATGGGTGTTTTAAGCTTAAATTATTATATGCTGGCCAAGGGATGGTGACCCCTGGAGAGTGGGGACCAGATGGGCACTAAAAGTCATTTAGCAAGAGGTGGTGCTCATCAGCCCACCCATTCTCTATAGGAGGCACAGCAGCCCTAAATGACACATATCTGCCATCTCTGCTTTGCCGCAGTCTTTCCTGTTATTTTCTCCAGGATTTTGGGCAGATAGCTACATGTAAAGATGACATCTAGGAGTCTCAGAGTGTGTGTGGGGACTCCACCTGCATGCCCCCCCCACCCCCCCGCCTGCCACGGATGAGAATAAGTCTACCAAGATGTGATCTGCTTGGGGAGGAAAGGTGGCCGATCTCTCAAAGGAGAAGGGCCAAGAGCCTTTTCCTCAATGGGCTTTTATTAGGTTCATTTTGCACAGGAATACAGGTAAAGCTCATTAATCATTGTTAGGCAGTAAGGATCAAACAATAGATAACAGGGGACTCTGAGGGCCTATTTTGAGTCAGGGTCAGATAGCTAAAGAGCTATAAAACTTTGAGGAAAAAACTCACTTCTTGCTTGGACCCTTATCACTTAATTGAGAGCATTCTAAACAAAGCAGGTTTCACAGGATTTTACATATTCTTCCTTAGGCCTGATTGCTGGGGAACCCGCCCTTCCAGCACAGGGTTGCACCACCCTCTGTCATTGTTTCAGGCTTAAGTCAGGCAGGGGAAGTAAGGCAGGCAAGAGATTAGGAGACTTCTTGCAGACAGAATGAGGACTCAGGCTTTGTCAAAGCCAAGGGGAGAGGGTCCACCACCCCCTTTTGCTGTAGCCCCCCAAGTCCTTCCTTGGGGGCCTCCCACATGATCGTGCCTGTCTTAGGTTGCCCCCCCCATGGGAAATCTTACCCGTCATTGGCTAACTGACCAAGCATTGGGAGCCAGTTATGGATGAAGTAAAAGGAGCAGAAGCGGCACTCCTGCCAGGGAGATAAGCTTTGTCTCCTTAGTGGCTTCTGGTCTGAAAGTCACTTTCTCAGCCTTAGCCTTGCAGGGGTTACAGCTTTTGAAACCAGGCAGGGCGGTTCCCAACATTGGAGAGACAGCATGGCAAAACCCTCTTGACAAACAACCTCACTAGTCAGGGCATTAGCAGTATTAGATGTAAGGCATTTTCCCCCTAAACACATCTCTATGTAGGCATGTACTAACTGTAGGATTGTTGTCATCTCTGGCCTTTGGGATGGGTGGCATTCCAGGACCAAAGGTAGAGGGAGCACACCCATGAGAACTATAGCTTCTGGGACAAAACACCATCATATTGGTGGGATAAAGCTTGGCTTCCTGCAGTCTAGACCTGTGTGCCATGTTATCTTTTGTCAACTTGGTATCATCATCTCCTTTTAACATCTGCTCAACATTGCTCCAAAGGTGGGAACAATAGTCCCCAGAATCCTTTTCCTTGCATGGTTCTGGGCTGGGGTCTGCCAATGAGAGGGGCCCTGGGAGAAATCTGGAAACTGGAAGAGAAAAAGTGGCAGCTGCAGCTAGATCCTGAGCAGATGTGAGGTTCAAAGCAGGTCTCAAGGAAGCCTAAGAACTAGTGCTTTTGGTGCTGGGGATTGAGAGAAGGGGTGTAGGCTTCTTTGGGGGTCTGAGATTCATAGTATCTTAGGGTGAAGCTCAGGAGAACCTTCCATTTGGTGTTGCAAGTGAAATGGCTAACAGGGGCCTATTGGACTTGCTCCTGCAGCCTTTCCAATGGTTGCATCAGCTTCTTCATACTTGGAATAGAAAGGCTTCTATTCTTAACATAACCCTGCTAGATACAGCCAGAGGCCCAGTTTTGACCTTTCCACTCCATCATCCTCTGTCTCTCCTGCATATTGAAATATTGGTATCCACTTTCTCACCTGTACCCACGGGCAGAGAAACATGTCAAAGCTCTAAGAGACAGCTCTTAGTTCTCCAGTTGCATACTGAGAGGCAGAGAGCAGAGGTGTCAAAGGATGTAAGGAGACAGTATACTGGTCTTCTAGAAGGTAGAAGAGGCAAGCTAGAATTTAGTTCTGCCTTTAAGTGCTTGTTCTTTTTTTTTTTTTTTTTTTAAAGATTCTATTTATTTATTTTTAGAGAGGGAAGGGAGAGAGATAGAGATAGAGATAGAGATAGAGATAGAGAGAGAGAGAGAGAGAGAAACATCAATGTGCGGTTGCTGGGGGTTATGGCCTGCAACCCAGGCATGTACCCTGGCTGGGAGTCGAACCTGGGACACTTTGGTTCCCAGCCCACGCTCAATCCACTGAGCTACGCCAGCCAGGGCATAAGTGCTTGTTCTTTAATGTGGGTCTTCCCATTCCAGAATGGGCATCACCAGGACCTAGTTAGAAGTGCAGAATCTCATGCCCACCCAGACCTTCTGGGTCGGAAGCTGAATTCTAACAAGCTCCTCAGGTGTGCACGGCTTTGAAGTACAATAAATCTATCTTCACACTAACAAAACCAGGTACAGTGAACAAGTTGACCAACCTGTTGAGACCCACCTCTTCTCCTGGCAGGAACCAGCAAGGAGGGTGGGAAGAAGTGGAAGAGAAGTTCTCCCTGTGGGTTGAGGTGAGATTGAGCAAGAGGGACAGGAAAACACCCTCTTTCCCAGCATGCCTATTTCCATCCAATTCAAAACTTGTGATTTTAGAGGTCCATAAATCAAAATCTTAATGTATAATTTAGTTACATAGTTGACCCTTGAACAGCAGAGGTTTGAACTGCATGGGTTCACTTATATATGAATTTTTAAAAATAACTATGTACAGTACTATAAATGTATTTTCCTTATGATTTTCTTAATAACATATTCTTTTCTCTAGCTCATTTTATTTTAAGAATACAGTATATAATATACATAACATGCATAATATGTTTTAATTGACTGTTCATGTTACGAGTAAGGCTTCTAGTCAATACGGGGCTATTAATAGTTAAGTTTTGGGGGAGTCAAAAGTTATATGTGGCTTTGGTGGGTGGCTCAGTTGATTGGAGCATCATCTCATGCACCAAAAGGTTGTGGGTTCAATTCCCAGACAGGGCACGTACCTAGGTCACAGGTTTGATCCCCAGTCACAGTGCATACAGGAGGCAATCAATGTTTCCCTCTCACATTGATCTCTCTCTCTCCCCACTCCTCTAAAAATCATTAAACATATTCTTTGGTGAGGATTAGAAAAAGTTATATGTGGATTTTCAACTGCATGGGAGGTCAGCATCCCTAACCCCCGCATTGTTCAAGTTCAGCTGCATATATGTTTAACATGGGTGTTCCAACATGGGAGCCCTTGTCAACCTTATCACAGGCTCTTAGATCCTCTCTGATGGTGAAACTGGTAAAAATACCCCCTCAGCTTCTCAGATACCCACCCAAAGCTCAAAAGCCTTCTTTACTGTTTTTAGCACAGAAGTGAGAAAAATAGATTTTAGTGGGAGATAAGGAAGGAAGGGGGAGAGAGTTTGTTTTTCCCACAGAAAAAGAGAGAGGGAGCTCCTTCTTTTGTACAGGTGCACATACACGGGCAAAAACAAGGCAGAGGATGTGCTCTGTGGTGATTTTTATAGATTCTTGGTTGGCAGTAAAATGGAGCGTGTGCCCACCAGTAAGCGGCAAGCAGTCTGCTCTGCTCTCAGTGAGAGTCTGTGGGAGCTGTAGGCCCACCAAGACCATATTTCCCTCCTTTTCTTGCTGTGTCTGCTCTTCTCTTGTCCTTGGTTTCTAACACTCTTCTCTGGTGACATTCTGACCTTCCAAAAGGCAGTGGCTTGGCAGTGGTCATCAACATGGGAAGTGACTTCATCACCAATGGGTGAGCTCTGTAAGTTCACCTTTGGCTGCTCCCTGTGAAGCCCGCTCCTCCAGTTTGTCCCAGCCTGTGCGTCATTGGGTGGATGAGCTGAGTTCCTCTGACACTCTTCCTTCCTGAGACCCTTTTGACCAACTGGAGTGCTCACTGCACTCAGATTCTTTCATTACCCTTCACCTGGGTATTTGGCATGCTTCAACTGGGTTGGAATTACAAAGTACAAAATGGATTTCATGTTACTCTAAGTGATAACTACATAGATTCCTGCCCATCAATTGTACTCACTATTTATTCTGTAGTCCTTGTGAAACCCCATAGTTCATTCTGTTCTGAGAGCTAAATTATGATCTGTTTAGCAGGACAGAAATGTGGACCCAGGACAGATGTGTGTGCTCTTGGACCAGCTTATTCATGCATCCTTATGGAAAGTTTTTCTACCATGATACAATGTAACATGAAAAATGTGTCTTAACATTGCAAAGGTAGAGTCCTCATTGGGATTTGTGTTCAGATGCTTGACGCTGTATGTTACTTGGTCTCCTAGACTAACAAAACTTACTGTCTTCCCTTTCACATTCCCTTTTGGTGTCATTATTCTAGTCCACATGGTGTCAGAACTGACCCAGCCTAGGGATTCTGGACCACACATTTTCTAAAATGATCTGAGATGTGATGGTTGGTTGTCAAAAACAATTATAGAGTGAGGTGGCATACCCCATGCTGATGGTATATCCGATGTGACAGTTGGGTCTATGAGA